TTGTAGGTCTTTAAGAATTTGCTTTATGTATCTGGGTGGTCCTGTATCGGGTGCGTATATATTTAGGATTGTTAGCTCTTCTTGTTGCATTGATCCTTTTACCATTATGTAATGCCCTTCTTTGTCTCTTTGGTTCTTTGTTGGTTTAAAGTCTATTTTATCAGAGACTAGGATTGCAACTCCTGCTTTTTTTGCTTTCCCTTTGCTTGGTAAATCTTCCTTCATCCCTTTATTTTGAGCCTATGTGTATCCTTGCATGTGAGGTGGGTTTTTTGGATACAGCACACTGATGGGTTTTGACTTTTTATCCAATTTGCCAGTCTGTGTCTATTGAGTGGGGCATTTAGCCCATTTACATTTAAGGTTAATATTGTTATGTATGAATTTGATCCTGCCATTTTGATACTAGCTGGTTGTTTTGCCCATTAGTTGATACAGTTTCTTCATTGTGTCGATGCTTTTTACCATTTGGTACATTTTTGGAGTGGGTGGTACTGGTTGTTCCTTTCTGTGTTTAGTGCTTCTTTCAGGAGCTCTTGTAAGGCAGGCCTGGTGGTGACGAACTCTCTCAGCATTTGCTTGTTTATAAAGGATTTTATTTCTCCTTCACTTATGAAGCTTAGTTTTGCTGGATATGAAATTCTAGGTTGAAAGTTCTTTTCTTTAAGGAAGTTGAATATTGGCCCCCACTCTCTTCTGGCTTGTAGGGTTTCTGCCGAGAGATCTGATGTGAGTCTGAAGGGCTTCCCTTTGTGGGTAACACGACCTTTCTCTCTGGCTGTCCTTAGCATTTTTTTCTTCATTTCAACCCTGGTGAATCTGACGATTATGTGCCTTGGGGTTGTTGTTCTTGAGCAATATCTTTGTAGTGTTCTCTGTAGTTCCTGGACTTGAATATTGGCCTGCCTTGATAGGTTGGGGAAGTTCTCCTGTATAATATCCTGAAGAGTGTTTTCCACCTTGGATTCATTCTCCCCGTCACATTCAGGTATACGTATCAAACGTAGATTAGGTCTTTTCACACAATCCCATATTTCTTGGAGGCTTTGTTCATTTATTTTCACTCTTTTTTCTCTAATCTTGTCCTCTCATTTTATTTCATTGAGTTGATCTTCAATCTCTGATATCCTTTCTTCTGCTTGGTTGATTCGGCTATTAAAACTTGCATATGCTTCGCGAAGTTCTCTTGTTGTGTTTTTCAGCTCCATCAGGTCATTTATATTCTCTCTAAGCTGTTTATTCCTGTTAGCATTTTGTCAAACCTTTTTTCAAAGTTCTTAGTTTCTTTGCATTGGGTTAGAACATGTTATTTTATCTCACATAAGTTTGTTATTACTCACCTTCTGAAGCCTGTTTCTGTCAATTCATCAGACTCATTCTCCATCCAGCCTTGTTCCTTTGCTGGTGAGGAGTTGTGATCCCTTAGAGGAGGCGAGGCATTCTGGTTTTGGGTGTTTTCATCCTTTTTTTGCTGGTTTCTTCCCATCTTTGTGGATTTATCTACCTGTGGTCTTTGTAGTTGGTGACTTTTGAATGGGGTCTCTGAGTGGATATCCTTTTTGTTGGTGATGAAGTTATTTCTTTCTGTTTTTTTGTTTTTCTTCTAATGGTCAGGCCCCTCTGCTGTAGGACAGCTGGAGGTCCACTCTAGACTCTGCTTGCCTGGGGATCAGCTGTGGCGGCCACAGAACAGTAAGGGTTGCTGCCAGTTTCTTCTGTTATCTTAATCCCAGAAGGATAGCTACCAGATGTCAGCCTGAGCTTTACTTTATGAGGTTTCTCTGTGGATACACAGGGGTTAGGGAGCTGCTTGAGGAGACAGTCTGACCCTTATAGGAACTCAGCTGCTGAGCTGTGAGCTCCGTTGTTTTGTTCAGAATTGCTGGGCAGGTACGTTTAAGTCTGCTGCAGCAGAACTCATAACTGCCTTTTTTCCCAGGTGCTCTATCTTGGGAAGGTGGGTCTTTATTTATAAGTTCCTGACATGCTGCTGCGTTTTTTCAGAGCTGCCCTTCCCAGCTAGGAGGTAGCCTAGTCACAGTCTGCCAGCAGAGGAGTTGCTGAGCTGCCATGGGCTCTTCCCAGCTGCTGTGTGAACTTCCTTGCGGTTTTGTTTATAGAGGTATAGTTAGAACTGCCTCAGTAATGGCAGTCTGCTTAGTAATGGCCGACTGCCTCTGTAATGGCAGACTGCCTTGGTAGTGGCAGACTGCCTTGGCAATGGCAGATGCCCTTCCTCCCACAGAGTGGGACCGTCTTGGGTCCAGCTGCACTTGTGAAACTCTCAATCCTGAGCATTTCATATTGCTGGTCTTTGTAGGGATGGGACCCGCTGAGCCAGATCACCTGGCTCCTTGTTTCAGCCCGCCTTTTTTCAGTTGAATGGGTGGCTCTGTCTCCCAGGTGTTGCAGGTGCCAGTTGAAATGGCCGCCCAGATTTGTGTGAGTTTTTGTGCAGAGACCTGCTGCGTTGGCTGAAACAGCTGTGCTGGAGACTTGTAGTGCTTTTCAGCCTGGGAATCTCCTGGTCTTTGGGCAGTAATACCTCGTTTGGAAATGCGATCATCACTCACTGTCTGCGTTGTTCTCGCTGGGAGCTGCACTCCAGAGCTGTTCCTATTTGGCCATCACTATCCATTGTGATTCTGAAATATCCTTGGTGACTCAAAATACTTTTCCATTGCCTGGGGCTGCTTTGGTGGCTTTCCTTCACACTTAAAATCCAACCCCCTGACTCTGACTTAGGGGGCCCTTTGTGTCATCTCCCGACTCTCCCTTGCTGACTTTACTCTGGACCTGCGTGTTCTTCCTTGGCCATGGTGAGCTCACAGCCTCTAACTGGAATGCTGTGCATCCTCATCCTTGAGGGTCCCTCCTTGACCTCATTGAGGTCTCTTCTCACAGTGCCTCCCCTGACTACATTCCAGCTCTCTTCTCTACTTACTCTTCATAGACCTTACTAATAGCTGAAATTAATATTTTTTTCACTTGTCTCATTCACTGTCTTCCCCACCAGAATTTAAACTCTACTAGATTACAAACCCTAGTAGGGTTTGGAGCAGGGTGTATGTCCTGTTTGTCTAATTTCTTTATTCTCAGCACCTAGAACAGGGTCTACGTAGTAGGTGCTCAAAAAAGAGTGAACTTGAGCAAGGCATTTAATGACACATTTGAATACCATGTGTCACATTATCTTGGCACACAAAATGTTGAGAAGATGTTGGCAAGTTGTTGGTCAAAGGATGCAAAATTTCAGTTAGATAGAATAAGTTCAAGGGATCTCTCTGTGCAACATAGTGACTATAGTTAATGACAATGTATTTTATTCTTCAAAATTGCCTAGAGAATAGGTTTTATGTGTTCTCGCTGAGGGAATGTGTTCTCTTTCCAGGTCCACAAGGGGGCGTAGTTTTAAGGGCAAGAACTGCCCAGTGCCATTCCCCTCTCCCATGTCTCTCCATCCTGGATGGGAAAGGGTCAAAAGTTAATCACTCCAGTGGAAGTTTAAGGGAACTCTTTTCATTGGCCAGGGAACTTGGAGAAGGTGGGAATTCCCCCCATGTTAAAAGTCTCTGTTTTCCTCTTCTGGGCAGATTTACCCCCTGGGGTCCCCTTCTGCACTCTTCGTGGAAGCCTTTTTCTCTCTCCTTTCTCTTTTTCTTTACCTAAATAAATCACATTCTGCAAACACTGTTTTGGGGTTCTTGAGATAGCAGGAGACCAAGAGCCTGGAGCCCACCAGGAAGTGAGTTGAGTGCTCTCCTGAACCCCAAAACCCCAACATCACCACACAAAATGAATATGTGAAGCAATACAAATGTTAGTTAGCTTGGCTTAGCCATTCTGTAATATATACATATTTTAAACAACATACTGTTTTGGGGGGGTTTTCTTGGATATAGGGTCTTGCTCTGTCACCTTAGGTGGAGTGCGGTGGCACTATTATCATAGCTCATTGCAGTCTCCAACTCTTGGGTTCAGGCAATCCTCCCACCTCAGCCTCCCAAGTAGCTAGGACTCCAGCCCTGTGCCACCACACTCAGCTAATTTTTTCAATTTTTATTAATATTTTTAAAGAGATGATGTCTTGCTGTATTGCCTGGGCTGGTCTTGAACTCTTGGCCTCAAGTCATGCACCTCTCCCTCCCAAAGTGCTGGGATTACAGGTGTGAGCCACCACACCTGGCCAAATATATACAATTTTTATTTGTCAATTAAAATAAATAAATAAATACATACAACTTGGAAAAAATGTTCAAAAGGCAAGTAATTCTGTATAATCCGTTTGCCAATAAAAGACCATAGTTGTATATGACCCTCCTGCCTTAGTCTTCAGGTGTATTTATAGCTGCCATTTCATGTTAATAGCTGGCACCTAGTGTGCAGGACCACCCCTCCAGGGTTAATTGGCTTGTTTCTTTTCTCCTAAGCATGACAGACGACGTTTCCTTAAAGATGTCCTTCATGGTAATTAAGAAACCCCGAGATCTCTTGCATTACCTCTTGCCTCTTTTTCAACATGCCCAGTACCAAAGGCATGACAGCCAAGAGAGTGGGCAGCATTTGAACGTTTTTCAAAAATAAAACCTTGGTATATAAAATACATTAGAGAATTCAGAAGGCCAAATGAGTTAAGTATACTGAAAAGTAAGACCTAGATAGATAAGAGACAGTTGGGAGGCCAAGGCAGGTGTATCATCTGAGGTCAGGAGTTCGAGGCCAACATGGTGAAACTCTGTCTCTACTAAAAATACAAAAAAAAAAAATTAGCCGGCAGTGGTGGTGCGTGCCTGTGATCCCAGCTACTTGGGAGGCTGAGGCAATAGAATCGCTTGAACCCAGGAAGCAGAAATTGCAGTAAGCCAAGATTGCACCACTGCACTCCAGCCTGGGCCACAGGGAGAGACTCCGTTAAAAAAAAAAAAAAAAAAGACAGTAAAAGTACCTCCTCAATAAATAGTTTTAACCTTTAACCAAACTGTATTGTTCTTCTTCATTAGCATTTGCAAGGTTTCTTCTCAGACTCCACATCATTCAACATTTTGATGGATATGTTATTTATCAAAGGCAAATATGAAAGTAAGTACTGCAGTTTCTATTTGCTGAAAAATTCTGCTGTTTGCTGGTGTAGGAATTAGGGGGAAAATGAGTCATGCAGAAATGATTCTTATATTCTTGATAAGTGGCTGAATTATGGAGACCTAATGAAGTTTGAAAACATTGCATTGCGTGTCATCACTTAAACTAAATATCTCAGATTTTACTTATGCTAAAATTGTAAAGCAGCTTTTAAAATATTAGTTCTTCCTGTATGACCGGATAGTTTATTTTAACATTTAGTTAATTACTAAATGACTTTGAGAAATAGCTTTTATTTTGTCAAAATACACTTTTCAGTTGATGGTGCTGAACAGATGAGAGCTTTTGGGGGCCAGCAGTAGAGGAACTCTGGCTAACTCCGCGATCCACTCTTCGCTTTTGGCAGGTGCTTTGGAAGTATTGCTAGAGATGAAAAACCAAGATGTGAAGTTCACCATAGATACCTATGTTCTTGCTTTTGCAATTTGCTACAAACTGGTAAGATTCTTTCCCCTTAACTTTGAGAGCATTGTGGGCAGTCTTTGAGAGAGGATTTTTTTTTTCTCTCTTCAAATAAAATTCAGTTCCTCTCAAGTCTGTTTTCCATCTGGTGCAAATGTTTTAATTTTAAATGTATTCATTTTTAGAAAACTTGAGTTAGCCATATCAGACAGTTTTGTCATGGGAAAAGTAATTTTTTCATCTTTCACTCTTCTCTGGTGATTGTGTAGATAGTGAGAACAAGAGGCAATGTGTTGGATTCAGGCTCTGCTTTAAAGCCATGTCTTATGCTGAACTCCGCTAGATCCATCTTCCCTGTTGTCCCCTTCTATAGAAATCTTAGCTTCCTTCATTGGTAAACTCAAGGATGACTTTGTCCTCATCTATGAAGTTTTTTGTAATCACCAAAATTGGAAGTGATGTTTGTCACCTCCAGATATCCCTTATTTATGCTCTATTTGTATCACTTCCCTGGTACTTTTGACATAGCCTAATGTTGTACTTGGCAGATCCACTTTCCATTCTCCCTACTTGAGTGTGAGCTCCTTAAGGCTTCTTTGTATCCCACCACATAACACAGTGCCTGGTATCCAGTTGTTTTTTAATAAATGTAGGTGACATGAAAATGAACTCTGAGGACAGAGACCATGACTTACAAGTTCTTTTATCAATACGAAAAGTTAACCGGGCATGGTGCCTATAATCCCAGCTACTTGGGAGGCTGAGGCAGGAGAATCACTTTAACCCAGGAGGTGGAGGTTGTAGTGAGCTGAGGTCACGCCACTGCATTCAGCCTGGGCAACAAGAGTGAAACTCTGTCTCAAAAAAAAAAAGTTATTTTGTCATTACTGTACCAGGATTATTTCTTGCCCATAGAAACTATTTCTTCAGTGTTTAGTTTAGTAACTGAATGATAACTGAAATTGTGAAATGGTCAGTGTTTAATGTATTACTATTGTCATTCGTGTCATTTAGACATTGTTAACCTGGCACACAAAACCTCTTTATACTGAAAACAAAGGAACACCAAGCGAAGTGGAAGAACATGGGCTGCTGAAAAACACCCATGAAGGGTGTAGCAATACCAGTTTTCCAAAACGGGGGGACAGCTGGGTTATGGTGGAAAGAAAACCAACCGGAAATTGAGAAGCTTGGGGTCTAGTTGCAACTTTGGTATTAACTGGCTTATGTAGCTTAGAACTCATCACCTATCTCATTTTACAAATGAGAGGGTTAGATTTGGCCTTTTTTTAAAATAAAAGGCCAGATAGTAAATATTTTAGGCTTTGGGAGCCACATACGTCTCTGCCTCATATGATCTCTGTCCTCTCTGTCCCATATTTGTTGTTTTTGTTTTTACAGGCCTTTAAAAATGTTAGTCATTCTTAGCTTTGGCTACATTTAGCCTGAGGGTCATAGCTTGCTGACCTCTGGATTCAGTAATTCTTTCCATTCATACCATTCTATGATTCTAGGAGGCCAGAAAACCACACAGCACTAGAGCATCACTTACTCAGCATTGCAATTCCCAGTCTTCCTGTATTCTACTTAGGGATGCCTCCTTGAGTGTATACTGCAGTGAAGAGAATTAAAATTTTACTTAGAGACTGAATGAGGTGGCTCATGCCTATAATCCCAGTACTTTGGGAGGCTGAGGTGGGTGGACCAGCTTGGCCAACATGGTGAAACCCCATCTCTACTAAAAATACAAAAATTAGCTAGGTGTGGTGGCACATACCTATAATCCCAGCTACTTTGGAGGCTGAGACAAAAGAATCATTTGAACCCAGGAGGCAGAGCTTGCAGTGAGCCAAGATCATGCCATTGAACTCCGGCATGGGCAACAGAGTGAGACTCTGTCTCAAAAAAAAATTAATAAATTCTACTTAGGAAAGGCCAGAGGACTTTTCTCCCCTGTGCCATGTCTGAGAATAACTTGTTTCACCCAGTGGAAATGAGTTGAAAAAGTGATCTGGTCAGCTAGTACAAATTCCACATCAATGCTGGCCCTCTCTCATCCCATTTGGACTTTATTTTGACAAGAGTTGCAACTTAGTATTGACAGATGACATAGATGCACAGCCAGGCTGCTCTCATAAACCTAATACCCCGCAGCATGCATAAAGGAAGAGGATTTGGTTTTACCCCTCCTGTTTTTATGTCATTCACATTCTTGGATTTTTTTTTTAAGGTTTCTATTTTCATGGGATTCTTTTATAATGTAAGTTCAAATTAGTGTTGATGTTTTCAAATATTTGACATATGAATATTTTTAGATTGGAAATTCCCCCAGGAAAAGTTTCCTTGTGTTGTTGAACCTTATTCTGGTAAAAACTGCCCCAATTCAGAAAATTGAAAATGAGCTTTAAAAATAAATTAATTTAGATTTGAGCTGCTAACATATCAGTAGCCTGATCTATTTGCAAATAGTCTCTATGTGGGGCTTAATCTTTTAAGTGGCTTGAGGGAGGCTGTAGGAAATCCTTACAAAAGGAACTCTAAATACTGAGAACTATTAATCATTTTATTGAACTTAAAGGTTTATGACATTAATCGAACAATCCTGTCTCCTCACAGAATAGCCCTGAGTCTTTTAAAATCTGTACTATATTAAGAGAAGAAGCCCTACTCAAAGGAGAAATTCTCTCCAGGAGAGCATCCTGTTTCGCTGTGGCATTAGCTCTGAATCAGGTAAAGCTTTGGGGTGCACGTAAGTAAATTGGGAGTGGCCAGGACTTTACTACTTTCATGTGTCTTTGCTTTTATTTTCTTCCTTCTGACTGTATCACAAAGAAGTAGTCCCAATAAAGAGACCAATGCCCTTGTTGCTATGGAAACCTATAATCTATACATATAACTGCAAAGAATGTCTTCATTTGCAATTGGGAACCTAACATGCATTTCTAAATAGAAGGGTAGAGAAATTTCTCAAGTAATTAAAAGGAAAATTGCAGATCATCAGTTTATGTTGTAACGTTCTCAGAGAACAGTTTAGTTTAATGCTTTCCAAAGTTGAATTTGCCTCAGATGAATGAGGACTGCTGAGTCAGTCCATTGTAGACGTGGTATCCATCATATATTTCATAGTTATACCCAACTACTACTGTTATTGGGGTAAGTCTTTAGTGATCTTTTAGCCTCATTCCCCTGACTGGACAGATGGAGGTAGCAGAGACCCAGAGATAAGAGGGGAGCTCCCTAAGGTCCTGCCTCAGTGATGGACAGAGTTAGTGCTGGAACCCTGGAACACCCTCTCTTGGAAGAGCCTCTCCTCTGAGATTTCCTGTTCCAAGGCCTAAAAAATATGAAATGCTTTACATGTTAGTAAAAGGAAACTTTATAGCAGAAAAGTAATAGCCAAGCCAGGTTATTTTCCTGGCAGGTAAAATATAGCTGGAGAACTCTTATTATTAATTAAAAATCAAAATATGAGGGTGATCCATTTCTATATACTGCTGGGAAGAGTCACTGAAGAACAAAGGCTTAAGAGATTATATACTTACCATGCCTCCACTGGGTCAAGAACATTTCTTTAACTTTCTAAGTTTCCCTTGGTATCCAGGGGAATTATTTTGTCTTCTTAATCTGTCATGAGGTGAGTGAGGTCTCTTCTAAGGTATGTGTTTTTCTTTCTTTGTGTAGCTCCTGTAGTTTTTCTTTATGTGCAAGTTATACTGTTTGGTGCACAGATACATCATCACTGTAACGTCATCATTGTAAATCCCTCACTTTAGCACTATAAAGTGCCTGTCTAGGTCATGTGTTCTGCTTTTGCCCTGAATTCAACCTTATCCAATATTAATATCTCCACCCCTCTTTTTCCTTTGTTCTTATCAGGTGTGCATTTGCCTGATGTACAGCTTTTCCTGTCCCTTATTTTTGCAATCTTTCTGAATTGTTTTGTTTTAGCTGTATGTCTTATATACTACATAAATGTCTATGTTGCTTTGTAATATGATGCTAATCTTTTAATATCTGTTTATATTCATATGACATATATTTGATCTTAGGTCTCATTTGATACTTTCTGTTTCTATAATTTTTTCTACTATTTTATGCCATGTGGTTATTTTCTCTAGTTGGTATTTTTGTTCTAGTGGTGACTTAAAAACCATAGTTTTGCTTTTCTTAATTCTCTAATTCTTTTATAATACCTGTTAATTCCCTAATATAAGTAATGGTGAAATTGGTATTTCACTTTGATAGTGCTCACTTTACTCTGAAATGTACTTGATTTGTCAGTTTTAAGTGATATTTTTTGGGCCACTGATAATAAAGATAAGGAAATGGGAATGCATTCCCTACCTCTCATGTCTTTCCCTTCTGTTTCTAACTTTTGTTAGTGTTAATATTGCTTTGTTGTCCAAGCATGTAACATTTACACTCTGTTCTATAGCCTCACTCCCCACTTGTTAGTTCTATGTGTAGTTAAATAGGTTGTTTGATGCTTGTTATTTTTCCAATCTTCTCTTTGTTGGCTGAAGTGAGTATTCTGGTAAATTCTTTGGAGGAACAATATCCCCTGAGTTCTTGGTATTTTAAATTATTTTATTTGCCTGTTGTTTTTGTACTTGAACTACAATTTGGCCAGATTTACAATTTCAAGGTGACAGTGCTTTTCTTGAGGTTTTTTTAGGCATTGCCTTTCTGTCTTCTAGTATGGAACATTGCTGTGGAGAAATCTAAGGCCTGCCTGATTTTTTTCCACTTCTGATTGACATGATCTTGTTCATTTTTCTCATTTCTATCTGCTATGTCCATGGAAATATTTTTCTATTAGGGTTTCTTCATCGGCCAGTTATTCTTTTTTTTTTGAGACAGAGTCTCACTCTGTCGCCCAGGCTGGAGTGCAGTGGTGCAGTCTCAACTTACTGCAACCTCCACCTCCTGGGTTCAAGTTATTCTCCCGCCTCAGCCCCCCGAGTAGCTGGGATTATAGGCGTGCGCCCAGCTAAGTTTTGTATTTTAGTAGAGATGGGGTTTCACCATGTTGGCCACACCCAGCTAATTTTTGTATTTTAGAAGAGATGGGATTTCTACTAAACCCATCTGGGTTAGCCAGGCTGGTCTTGAACTCCTGACTTCAAGTGATCTGCCTGCCTCTGCCTCCCAAAGTGCTAGGGTTATAGGCGTGAGTCACTCTGCCAGTTATGTTCTTAATATTGTTCTACTGTGTTCCTTTTCCCCTTTTAAAAATATGATCTTTATCAGTGTCCTGTGGTGGTTCTTTTTTGACTATTCATCATTGAAAAGTAAGTTTAAGGCCTAGCATAGTGGCTCCTCCCTGTAATCCCAGCACTTTGGGATTGGGGAGGATCACTTGAGTCCAGGAGTTTGAGACCAGCCAAGACAACATAGGGAGACCCTGTCTTTCCAAAACAAAAACAAAAACAAGTGCAGCAGTATGTACAGCAGGATGTAGTACATGCCTGTAGTCCTTGCTGCTCAGGAGACTGAGGCAGGAAAATATCTTGTGCCCAGGAATTTGAGGCTGCAGTGAGCCATGATTATACCACTATACTCCAGTCTGGGTGACAGAGCAAGACTCTGTCTCTAAAAAATAAAAATTCAAAAATAAAAGAAAAACGTTAAGTTTCTTTTAGACTCGTCACTTGTAGATTTATGTCGAGACAGAGAAAGCAACAGAGAGGCACACCAGAGCCCTGTTCTAGACTAGCAGGATTTTTCTTCATATAACCCAGAGTTTTGTCAACAAGTATACAGGCTTGCTTTCTTTTAAGCCAACAGGAACAGGCACTGAGGAGATTTTTGGCGAGCAGTCTCTTCTCTGCCGCTGCTGTCTTAGGAACATACTGCTTCCAGTGAATACAGCTTGTCTATGGAAATGCTTGACTAGCCTCATCTCTACCACCACAAGGATCCGCAGAAGTTCTCTTTAGTAGTCCTACACTCTGTTCTTTCTCATCATGGTAAACAGGAATTAGATTTTGTACTTCAGGTTGTGCCCTTACCTTTGAGAGCTGTCCTGTTGTGGGTTCTTTCTGAGACACAGAGCACTGTCCACCTCTGACTGCTTTCTCCTGAACCTGGCCAGCCTCCATCTCCAGTGTTTCCAACTCTGCTGTAGTTGGAGTTTCTATATTCTAATTACATATGTCAAAGACAGGCTTTGCACTTTGTTCCTCATTCCTATTTTTTTAGAAGCTGATTCCAGTAGAAGAAGGGGAAATGCCAATTTTATGCCTGCATCTTAAAATCTGGACTCAGGCAGGTTGTTAAAACATTCAACAATATGCTGTTGGAGGGAGCATTTTATGGAATGTTTAGTTTTAATTTCCAAAACATTTTTTCCTTGTGGACTTCAAAACCCTGGGGTCACTTTAATAGGAATATACCGCCTTCTCTAAGTAATTTTTTACAAGAACATTAGTTCATGTGATATAGGATATGATTTGTTTCTCTTCCTTCTAGAATGAGGTGGCAAAAGCCATGTCCATTTTTTCTCAAATCATGAATCCAGAAAGCATAACCTGCACTAATTTAAATGTAAGTAACTTCTTTATGGTATAAGGTAAGCCTTGAAATGTATACATGTATTATAATAAAATGATGCCTAAATTTTTGGCTGTGTACAGTGACTTATCTCCCAAGGTTTTTATTCAATTCAAATCAGCAGTCATTTATTGAATTCTTCTCTGTGAAAATTACAGTATCATCCTTGTAAGAAGAGTCAACACAGTTGTTGCTTCCAGGATTTTGTAAACAGGTAGGAGAGTGGTAGATATGCTCACATATAAGACATGGTTAGATGCTGAAGACATGAGACATGGCTAAGAAAGCTGTAGATGTAGAGAGGAGGAGGGGATGGAGACATATCCTCCAGGCTCTTTACTGAGCCTTGAAAGAAACCTGTGTGCTAGCTGCATCTTATTGGTGGTCCCTAACTCATGGCATTGTTGCAATTAATGAGCTTAAATACCTATGGTACACAAAATAGTGCCTGACATGTGGTAAGCATTCAATAAATGTTATCTGTTGTTATTCTTATTATGTTGCCAGTATGCCCATGGCCTTCTTCCCCATTAACTTATCTGGCCACCTGGGTCACTTATTTGGGGCTTGTGGTCTGAGTCAGCAAGCGACTGCACACATATCACCAAGACATGCAAAATCTTAATCCCTAAAACTAAAAGCAAAGGGAAAAGATTACACAGATTCACAAGATTATAAAAATAAATAAAATTTGAGGCATATTACCACCCCCAGAGTTTGAGCAGTGAGTCACAAAACCTTCCTAGACCAATTAAAAAAGACTATCTTGTCATTAAGGACACCAGCCCATATTGAGACTCCTTGCATACTGTGACTACTTATGTGTGGGGAGTTGCAAAAGAAAAAACTTTCAGGAGCTTATAGTCTCCTGAAATAGTCAAAAGGTTGAGATGAAGAAAACATTTTCAGAAGGATAGAAATGTGTAACCATTAGCAAGACACAAACTAGGATAACAGATCGCAGTAATTCATTGAGTATTCTAAGATGAGTAGATGCAGAGGATCAGGGGGATCAGGAGTGGCTAGCAGGAGCAATGTGAGGGGCCTTTAGGGAGGGTACAGCAGCTTTTACATGAGAGAAAGTTCAGTCCGAGGAACCAGAAAGATGGAAACAGTGATAACAGAGAATTTGAAAAAAATGAAATGAGTTTGGAATGGAAGAAACAAAGTACTAGAAAAATATTGACAAAGAGACTTTTCAGTTCCAAAGGGCATGAGCTTGGAGGGCATGAACTCAACTATATACACCTGGTAATGGATTTGATATGAACTGATGAATGCCATAAGCAAGCGGGAAAGTAAGAGGGCTCAGAAATGAGTTTGTAAGGCATTAATGGTGAGGCAGAGGAGGCACCAGAAAAGACAGGAAAGGACTCATAGCTGTGTAGAAATCCAAATGGCTGAGAGCTGTCCCTGTGTTAGGCTGCTGCAGGTAGCTCCTGTTCATCCTGGGGGCCGAAGCAGAAACTGTAGGTCTGAGCAGGTGGGTCAGCCTGAAAAGCTCACAGGCTAAAGCAGGTCCGAGAGGCCAAGGTTGGCAAAGGTCCAGAGTCCAGAAGGTCAGGTCATTTGAGCCAGTCATACTAGTAAGCTAAACTGGGAAGCCTGGTCTTCCAACAGGCACAATACATCTTTGACATTTCTGCTTCCTACTGGATATGGACAGCTCTGGTATTCCAGTATATAACTGGTTCTGAGAGAGAGAGAGTGGCCTTCAGAGGTCCCATCTATCATAATGTGACTGGGATTAGCAAGATACTCTTCCACTAAAGCTAAAGCTATCCAAGTCTCTTATAACATCAGGTAGGAAAGAAGGACAGGAGAAAATGGGGAGAAGTGTTTTACGTGGACCATTGGTCGCTTTTTCTAGAGTTGAAGCAAGGTTGAGGATTTCAATAAGCATTGGTGGTAAGAAGTCAAATAGTGAGGTAAGCAGAGTTTTAATTTAATTTATCAAAGGTATCATGCTAGGTACTTTATATTTGTTATACAACAAAAGTTCTATCAAAACAATTTTTCTCCACATTATAGTTGTGGAAAATGAAGATTCAACAGTAAATAAATTACCTTAGTTCTCTCAGCTAATTAAATAGCAGTGTCAGGGTTTTAACACCAACAACTCTGACTGCAAAGCTTAGGGTTTCCTCACCACCCCAGACCTACAGAGATGAAAAGGGTGTGTCTCTTTTTATCCAGGACTGGGACTAGCGGCTCCTCGTGAATAAAAACAACACAAGACTGGATGTCAAAAAACACGATCCCACTAGTGCATATAATCCACCTCTGGATTTACATTTATCATCTCCTCCCATCCTAGCCTATCTCTCACAGTTATAAGAATCTACGCATGGGCTGGGTGCGGTGGCTCATGCTTGTAATCCCAGCACTTTGGGACACTAAGGTGTGCTGATCATTTGAAGGAGTTCAAGACCAGCCTGGCCAACATGGTGAATTAAACCCCATCTCTACTAAAAATATGAAAATTAGCTGAACGTGGTGGTGCGTGCCTGTAATTCCAGCTAACGGGAGACTGAGGCAGGAGGATTGCTTGAACCTGGGAGGCAGAGGTTGCTATGAGTGGAGATTGTACCATTGCACTCCAGCCTGGGCAACAGAGCAAGGCTTTGTCTCCAATAACAACAAAAATAATCTATTAATGATTTTTTTTTTCCAAATGAGTAGGTGCTTTGGTGGAGTTAAACATAAGCCTGCTGAGCATGAGGCTGTCCATTCCCAGTAGGAAGAGCAATGCAGGGCATGGTGGAGAAAGCATGTGCGTGCCCACCAGGCAGCTGGAACAGCTCCTTTCCGCTGAGGGCTAGAAAGGAAAGTCAGCCTATGGATGCAGTTGGGATGGGCGTGTTTCAGGCAAGGACTCCTTAGGAAACCTTGAAGAGATACTGAGTATGAATCATCCTCTCTGAACTGTATCACAGAATTACTCACTGTCAAGAAACTTAATGACAGTTTCAGTGTTTAAAAATTCTCAGGAAATTCTTTCAAATGTTCAACTGAAATTTCTCATGTTGTAATATAAGCCTATGTCATCTTCCTCAGAGATGATGAAAATTATATGGTTGCCATTCTCAAGTTTAGTAATTTTTTTCAGATTCTAGGTCTCTGTTAATAGAGAACATTTTAAAAAAAATTACTGCATGTCTGGGCACAGTGGCTCATTCCTGTAATCCCAGCACTTTGGGAGGCCAAGGCAGGTGGATCACGAGGTCAGGAGATCGAGACCAACTTGGCTAACACAGTGAAACCCTATCTCTACCAAAAACAAAAAATTAGCCAGGCATGGTGGCATACGCCTGTAGTCCCAGCTACTCAGAGACTAAGGCAGGAGAATCACTTAAAGCCAGGAGACAGAGGTTGCAGTGAGCAGAGATTGTGCCACTTCACTCCAGCCTGGGCCACAGAGCAAGACTCCGTCTCAAAAAAAAAAAAAGAAAAAAAGACTGCATGGACCTTAGCTGCTTCTCTAAGGCTAACTCATCTACTTGAAATCCTTAAAGACAGCGTGTTAATTATTAAGAGACGGAAACTGACAGGCTGAGTAGAGTCTGGTTAGTCAGTATTCACAGAAATAAATGAAACTTTTTTCTGATCAACTTTAAAAATTAATGCTTTATGCTAAAATTTTTTGCTGCTGTCAGTTGAAATTTGAACTTAATTTTCTCCCTAACTTGTTTTATTAAATTGCTCCTGTTCCCAGTGTGACAAAGAGGGCCCAGTTTCCTATTTTTCCAGCTAATACTTAATACATACTGCGTTGGTTTAACAGATCTCATCAAAACACATGTATGTTGACTCTACCTTTTCAGTCTGAGTTGAAACCTCTCAATCTCAAACACAGATCCTCTTTAGCAATGCTGCTTCACATCAAAGGATTAATTTCTACTTCCAAATATGTCTGAAAGTAGAGAGACCAATGCAGGGTAATTGTCCACTGATTCTATTTGAATTCTAATCATTTCTCTATAAACCTGGCACGCCTCCAATTGGAGATCCATTTAGGAATTGAATTTACCTTGCAAGGAAACTGACAGGTGGTTTTGCTGCATTTATCATTTATTTGTTAATACAGGTGACTGTCTTAATGCCCCTTTCTTCTACCCACTTAGGCCACCTTAAAGTTCTAACTTATGCTAGGAAGTCTGGAGTGCACAGGGAGGAAAGGAGACAGGACTCATTTCTCACAAATTTCCTCATGGCAGGATCTTACTCATATGTGTAAGTTAAGAATTGCATTTGTTTAGGAGCAATGCAATATAGACTCCAAAAATAAAAATAAAAGCCTATACAAATTAGAGCCTTTATTTTCTTCAATGTAGAAAAGCAATCTGGTCAGTCCACGCCTGATGTGGCATTCCATGATGTCATTAGGAACCCAGCCTCTTTGTATATTTCTACTCTACTATCTTTAACATGTGACTTCCATTCATTACATCCCTAGTCCAGCAAGAAGTAGGAAAAATGGGAGTGGACAAAGAAGTTCATCCCTTTTAAAGATACTTTCTCAAATGTCTTCATCCAACAACTTGTACTGACGGTGTTATTGGCCATAACTTAATCCCATGACCACATCTAATTGCAAAGAACCCTGAGAAATAGACTTTGAGTTTCATACATGAAAGAGCCTGTTAAAGTTAGGGAGTCCTGTTATCAAAAAAGGAGGAGACAATGGATATTGGTTAGAAAACTGGCAGCCTCTACCATACTATGATATTCTTCAAATATAGCAAAAATAAAACGAAAATAAAAGAAACAAGAAATGTAAAGTTCTGCATGCTCAGAGCTTCTGTTCCCTTTTTTGTTCAAAGGTAACTAGTAACTTATTTCCTGAGGCCTCAGAAAATCAAAGAGGCAGGAAGCACGTGTTCTTTAAATAGTTTTTCTTACCAAATTCCCCTGTTCCTTACTAACTGAATTTCCCTAGGCTTTTGTTTGAAATCTGTAAGATTAAGGCAATGTGCCGTACTCTACTTTCGTTTTCTTTAGCTGCACCCTGAGACTGGTTTGAGATAAGCCCCTAGCTTTAAACTTTCTCTTTGCCTTTTCAGTGACTGCCTCATGTACATTGTCCTTCACCAGTGTATTTTAAGGTAGTGAGCCTTATTCTTGAAATCCCTACTGAATCAGAGATAGTTGCTGGAGGGAGGAAGACAAGTTGGAAAAACTTAGGAAGAAATATTGAAATCTTCCAGGGAGCACATCATTTCTAGCAGAGGGCTCTAGATGGTTTATTTTTGTAAATTGCTGGGGAAGCCAAGCTCCCCTTCTTGTTTATTGTTAATGAGAATTGGCTGTGTACCTTGTACTGGAGACATAGCATTGCATTGAACAAGGTAGACTTGTCTTTGCCTTTGGGAGGACACCACCATCAACAAAATTGGGATTGGTTTTTATTAACAAAGGTGTTAAGAACTGTGACGGGTTAGAGATTTTATCCCACTTGGAAGCTAATGAGTTAGCCTGCCCTAGTTTCATGAATGCTAGTGGCGTGTACAAGACACTGAGAAATAAAGGACAGATTATTATATAGCAGACGCCAGGATATGCATCAGTTTCCTGAGCCCCAGGTCCTGCTGGAAGACATGAAGAGCTCTATGTGCCTCTTGCACACATAGGAAGTTGCTTTTAAGAGAAGAACCTTGAGCTTAGGTAACCCAAACCTCTTATAGTGGCCAGTAAGCATGCCTTTAACTTTGCTTTGGATGCGACGCTATGTCTGTTGCACACAAATATCCTTAAAAAGATAGTCTGTAATAAAAGCAGTGCTTTTGCTCTCAAGGCATGCAGAAATTTGAGAGACTCCATGGAGAGTTGTCTCCCAAAAAGGGTGTGCTCATGATTTTGCGTGGGCTTTAGAACACTGCATTTAAATTGAATTCTTTGTATTTCATCTACCTGGGATCATTTCTGTTCTCTTCAGAACCAAAGACAACCCTGCATCCTGATAAATTACTCAACAAGTATAAAATGTTACCAAACAGAATGGTGAGAAAACATAGCTGGTTTAATATAAAAAAGGTAAATCTCTTCCAGGAAAACTACCTTTTGTAAGGATCAAGAGCCTTAAAAACATCTCTATGCTTTGACTTAGTAATTTCACTTCTGGGAATCAAGTTTCTAAGACATTACCAGTTTTTAAAAATGCATATACACATTGGTCAGTATAATAAAGTATGGTATATTTCCATGATGAATTGCTATGTATGTGTTAAAAATAAGATTTCTTTTTTCTAATATTAATGCTATGAGGAAATAAATGTCTATTGTGTGGTAATTGACCAAAAGTAGGATCAAATTTTGGGGATAAGTTAATATATTTGGAAGATTTATACATCAAATTATAAACTGGATGTAACATTGGTTGGTGAATTCTCATTCTCACTTTCTTTAAACTTTTTCTTGAATTATACTAGTGAATATTGGCAATTGGGGGGAAATGTGTTCTTTTTTCTTGTGTTAATTGTACCTATCTGGTGGAAGATAGGTAGTAGTATCATTTTGAAAGCACAACTACAGTACCCAGTTTTGAAAGTTGCTTAATAGATAGTGTAAATAGGAGTACCTCATTAAAATTTCAGCCAGTTTCCACTCTATGCCTGCAGTAGCCTGTGTGCCTACAACTTCCTAACAACAGAAAACGTTGAAGGTGGCCAGATGTCGTGGCTCACGCCTATAATACCAGCATTTTGGCAGGCAGAGGCAGGTGGATCACCAGGTCAAGGGATCAAGACCATCCTGGTCAACATGGTGAAACCCCATCTCTACTAAAAATACAAAAATTAGCTGGGCGTGGTGGTGCACCCCTCTAGTCCCAGCTACTCGGGAAGCTGAGGCAGGAGAATTGCTCGAAACCAGGAGGCGGAGGTTGCAGTGAGCCAAGATCGTGCCATTGCACTCCAGCCTTGGTAACAAGAGCGAAACTCCGTCTCAAAAAAAAAAAAAAAATCGTTGAAGGTACCATTTCCCCCTAGCCAGTTCTGGTTGTCTGTTTTCACACTGCTATAAAGAAGTACCAGAGACTGGGTAATTTATAAAGGAAAGGGATTTAATTGACTCACAGTATCGTGTGGCTGGAGAGGCCTCAGGAAACATAATCATGGGGGAAGGCAAAGGAGAAGCAAATTATTTTCTTCACAAGGTGGCAGGAAAGGGAGAGAGCAGGGGCAACTGCCACTTAGGAAACCATCAGATCTCATGAGAACTCACTCACTAGCATGAGAACAGCATGGGGGAAACTGCCCCCATGAGCCAATCACCTCCCATCAGGTCCCTCAGCCGACACCTGGGGATTACCATTTGAGATGAAATTTGGGTGGAAAAAGCCAAACCATGTCACTGGTTTTATGAGATTGTCTGATTGTCATATCCTCTGAATCTAGAGGATATAGAGAGGAGGAAACCAATATTTTTGTTCATTGAGTACCTTCTGTATACTGGTATTTTATTTAATGTTCATAAAACCTAAAATGTGAGATCTAAACCTATTTTCCCCATTTTACAAATGAAGGCATTGAAATTGAGAGATTAAGTACATGGTCCAGAGTCACTTAGCTGGTACTTGCCAGTATGTAGATTTCAGCCCAACTATCCAGACACCAAATCTCTGCTCTCTCCAATGTTACCCTTAAACAAATTTTGAAGTTAAAGTGTTGTGACTAACTATTGGAAAGCACATTTTGGCTGGTGGGTTTACATTTAAAGCACATTTTTTTAACTTGTGCAAGCAAATAAATTACGAAGTAGGATCAAAGCAGGGTGGGTACCTGTAAATGCAGGCTTATCTAACCAGGTACATTTCTTAGCATTGAGACAGTAACTTCATTTTGGTTTTGTTTGTGTCTTCTTAATATTCAGATTATACTCCATATCCAGTTAAATATGTTGGAAAACGTGATAGAGATACTAAAAAATGCTACAGAAGGAAATTTATCAAAATATGTGAAGAGACAGGTGTTCTCAGAGGAAGTGGTGAGTATGCAAGTGCTGCAGAAATCATTTAAAAGTGAAAGGGCACTCTTAACAATGCCCACTAATTTCTCAGTTCTAAAGCGTACCTTAAAGAGATTGCCAAATACGGCAACTTCTCTGTTCCTGTTTTAAGACATCCATGTCTATATGCAAAGGTTTTTTTTTTTCCCCACACTGTATTCATGGGTCCTGGCTCACTCTCTTTTTCTTCTAGATGTCAATTTTCCACCTTTTTCCTTTTCTCTCAAGCCTCCAAAACCTTTTCCTCACTTTTCACTCTCAACTGATCACCTTATTTCTTTCTTCATGGAGAAAATATAAGTAATCAGAAGAGAATGACTACTCCATTGACAGCCTCTGGCCCCTTGCCCTATTTACCCATGATGACTATGGATGCACCGCTCACGCCAGCCTCTCCAGTTGTGCACTAGATCCCATCCCCTCTGACCCGTTCCACAGCGTCAGTCCAGAAGTTGACTCACTCTTTTGGGCATCATCAATATCCCCTTCCCTGTGGGTCATTCTTGTCAGCAGACATTAGGATATAGTATCTCTCATCTTAAAAAAGAAAGAGTCTCCTGTACAAATGAAAAGACAGACCATGTGTTTAGATAAGAAGACCTAGCCTCATGAAAAATGTTTTTTTGAAGTTACTTTGATAATGTAATATGAAAATATCACTTTTTTTTTTGTAGTTAAAGGTTGGTTGAAAAAACAAGATTATCTAGAAAAACCCTGTGAAAGAGGGGCAGTAAGCGTTGCTAGATCTAGCAGATATCAAAGCATGTTAAGGTTTCTATAATTCAAACTGTGACTTAGGTCACGAATAGAGCAGCTAATGGGACAGAATAGAAAGTCCAGATACAGACCAAACCACAGATACAAATTTAGTGTAACATAAAGGCAAAGGCAAGCATCTCAAATCAATCTAAATGGATAGACTGGTAAGGAGTACTAGGATAAGTAGAGAGCCAATAGAAAAAGATACACCTGTATATGTTTTTATACCACAAACCAGGATACATTCCAAGTGGATGATAATTTAAATTTTTTAATTGAAACATACAAGCAGATGATATAAACATTAGTGGATTCTTTAATGTCCTGGGAGTTGAAAAACTTATCTTTCAATCAAAATCCAAATCAATTAAGTGATAAATTTGACTAAATAAAAATGTTGAAACCTTTTTTTTCGTGTGGCAAAAACTCCATAAGCAAAGTCAAGAGGTAAATAACAAACTAGAAGAAAGTACTTTCAGTTTTTAATCATACTGACAAAAGGATAATTAGCCCTAATATTTAAAGAGCTCTTTTTGAGGCCAGTCGCAGTGGCTCACACCCGTAATGTTGTGATCCGCCTACCTTGGGAGGCCGAGGTAGGCGGATTACAACATCAGGGAGACCATCGTGGCCAACACAGTGAAACCCCGTCTCTACTAAAAATACAAAAATTAGCCGGGCGTGGTGGCGCGTGCCTGCAGTCCCAGCTACTTGGGAGGCTGAGGCAGGAGAACTACTTAAACCCGGGAGTCGAGATCATGCCACTGCAGCCTGGCAACAGAGTGAGACTCCGCCTCCAAAAAAAAAAAGCTCTTTTTGAAAACTGTGAGAAAAGAACCAACAACGCTAAAGAAAAATGGGTAAGAGATGTGGACAGAACTTACTAAAAATGAATTGTGAATGGCCCTTAGACATTTGAAAAGATTCTCTTGCCCATATCAAGAGAAATGCAAAATAAAACTACTTTATGATCTTTCTCGTGAGTAGAAATCTGCAAGTTTGCCAGCCTGTTTGGTTGGTGAGGCTCTGAGGAAATGTGCACTATCATCCAATGCTGCTAGAGGGAAAACAGATTGGTATACCCTGTGCAGAGGCATTTGGCAGTATCTCACAAACAAATAATTTCACCCCTTGACTCAATCGTCCCACTTGGAATATATTCCAAAAATATACCAGCAAATACAAGGAAGTTGTATGTACAAGGCTATTTGTTGCAGGCCAATTTGTAATAGCAGACTGGAAAAAAGCCCAAATTTCCATCAGTAAAGGACTAGTTGTACAAATTAGGGTCTGTTCGTACAAAGGACTGCTATGTAACCCAAAGGAAGTGAGGAACAGCTGTATCATATACTGCTGTGGATCACCATTTATATGGATCACTTAAATATGTTTTTAAGTGACAAAAGCAAGATGCAAATGGATGTGTGTGGTATGCCTTAAGAAAGCGGTACCATATATTTATATATATTTAGGATTTTGAAAAACACTATGGATGAAAAACCGAAAATTTAAGTGGTTATGTTGATTTCTTTTTCAGATCATTTTTTGTATAGAAACACTGCTGATTTTTGTATGTTCATTTTGTAACCTGCAGCTTTACTGAATTGATTTATCAGTTCTAAAGGTTTTTTAGTTGTCTTTAGGAACTACAGTTAATTATAATGCATATTTCAAAAATGCCAAAGGAGTAGATTTTTAATGTTTCACTGCAGAAAAAGATACATTGTAGGTGATGGATATGTTTATTAGCTTGATTAAATCTTTCTGTAATATACACATAGACTGAAACATCACATTGAACTTTATAAATATACACAATTGATGACAATTATAATTTGACAAATTTTTTAAATTTAATTTTTAAAAATTAAAAAATTTTAAAAGAAAAAGGAAAGTGAAGGTGAAGGATAGAAGCATGATTTCTCTGAATGTACCTTGTTTGTATATTTAACTTAGGAACCATGTAAATGCTTTTCAGAACTTTAAAGCAGAGTTAAATAAAAATGAAGAGAAAAAGCAATTCCTAAAAATTGAACGTGAAATGAAACAAATGAACCCATGTGTCACGATGATGGCTTAAGTACACAAATTGGAATTATTGTAGGTCATTTGAAATATAGTAATTTGTACCTCTCTCATAGCATAATACTTAAGGTGAAAAAAGAAGTGTAAAGAAATTGTACATTATTGACAATGACCATATTGTTAATAATAACACTGATATTGGCATTTTGATCAACCAAGTGGCCTGTTGGTTGGTACTCCTTTTCTTCCTCATTTCTCCTGCCTCTCCTTTTTATAGTTTGGTCCAGGCTGACGGCTGAGATGGCAGGCTTGGCACTAGAGGGCAGTGGCTGCTTCCTCCTCCTGCCACACTGTCGCCTTCCCAGCCCTGTGACATTTCCTCACTTCCACCCAAAGGCTTCTTCCTGCTGATAAATGGGAACTTGTCAGGAAAATGACTAACTGGATATGACTGATTTCAAGCTTCTTTATGTTTGTGGTCTTAGCTCTGTTTAGGTTGTGACCCACCGAACCCTTTTGGAGTAACTTTAGAAAAGCAGAGAAAGTGGAAGCATGAACAGATTTTAAAGTGCATAGTCATGTGTGTATGCATACGTGTGAAATACTCATACAACTTCCATTTTCTCAGCAGCATTGATGTTAACAATCTTTCCTTAGACCTGATCCATTAATACATTGTCACCATTTGTATGGCTAAAGCACCCAAACAAACTTCATATTGCAAAATACTCATATAAGACTGTTTTACTTAGAAAATGAACCCTCTAGTTCAGTATCTTCTCTCTGGTTACTGGGGGTCACTCAAGGAACTGCTTGATGAGAAATGGATTGATTCATATAACTCCAGTAGCTTTTGAGCTAGTTCTAAATATATATGTGTGAGATTGCAAATGTAGTCTTATATTGTAAAAGTCTGCATTTTACAAATGTTGCATTTAATGTTTATGCCAACAGTTATTTTAAATGTGTTACGTATGGAGATAAGACCATAAACTACCATAGGTGCTATTATACCATCACAGGACTATTGAAAAGAATTGTTGACTTATTTCTGTAGTTATGTAACAGAACTATTACAGCTTTTAGATCAAAATTATCTCCAGCTTGGCATGTTTGTTGTGCTGCTTTTAGAAGCCATACGCTGCACATTAAGTCATTTTCACCTTGAACGTGGGGACTAAACAAACTATTCGTTTTTAAGAACATTAAGAAGTGCTTAAGCTGCTTGTCTGCAGGTGTGGTTGGGAGCCCTGTCTGAAAGGAAGATGTGCAGGTGCAAACAGTGTTATAAATTTAGAAGAGGGCCAAAGGATTTGTTAGGAAGCTTGATCCCAATTAAATTCCATCAAGAAGTGTGTTTAGTTTATACCCTTGATAAGGATTGAACTAAGTAAAATACTGGTTTTATTCAGAAAGTAGCTTCACATTCTCCATTCTAGTTCGCCCATTTTTGGGGTTAAATACCATTCATATACTTGTGACTCTAGTATGTATGCCTCTAGTCTAGACCTCTCCATCATGCCCCAGATTTGTATATCCAACAGTCTTCTAGACATAACCATTTAGATATTTCACAGCTACTTCAATCAGGTCCAAATAGAGCTCTTGATGTTCCCTTCCAAATCTCACCCGCCCTGTTCTCTATCTCAGGAAATGGTAGCACCCATCATCCAGTTACTAAAGCCCCAGTTGAGAAGATAACTTTGACTCCTCCCTTTCCTTCACCCATTCAAAAATAAGTCCTTTCAATGTAACCTCCAAAATGTACCTCACAAACGGACACTTTCCATCTTTTCTGTACCTTTCCCAATCTTAAGCCACCATCCTTTCTTATCTGGGCTATGGTGTGGGCCTCCAGAAGAGTCTCCTCATTTCTGTACATACCAATCCATTATGCAACTTTTTCAACGTAAATGAAATCTTGTCCCACTTTAGATGCTTTGATGGCTTTTTTAGAATAAATTTCAAAAAGCTTATTGTGGAATATATATAAAGCCCCATGTAATTTGGCCCTGCCTCCTCCTGCTCTAATCATTACATTGAACAAAGTTGATTCCACTGGTATATGACCTCCTTTACTTGGTGTGTTTCATTATATAAATGTGTTATTTGAACCCCTGCTTTATATTAGGTATGATTTTCAAATACTAATTTTGAATTTTGTGTGTGGCTTTTGGAATCTCTCATAGTAATACTTCTGTGTGCCCCCATACACTGGTTTTCACTATTTTAGGTATATACCACATATATATTTTTTTGAGACAGACTCTACTCTGTCACCCAGGCTAGAGTATAGTGGCACAGTCACGGCTCACTGCAGCCTCTGTCTCTTGGGCACAACTGATCTTCCACCACACCAACTAATTTTTTAAAAATTTTTTTGTACAGAGTCTCACTGTGTTGCCTAGGCTGGCCTAGAAATCCTGTGCTCAAGCGACCCTCCCACCTCAGCCTCCAAAATTGCTGGGATTACAGGCATGAGCCACTGGATCTGGCCTACCATACATTTTTGTTCATGTCCGTTACTTTTTCTTAGAGTTATAGTAAGAACAAGGAATAAATCTTGCAGAGATATAATGATCTGTTCTTGCTTTTTTCCAGCTGGCCAAAGTGAGGGAAAAAGTGAAGGATGTGCCTGCCCTTGTGGCCAAATTTGATGAGCTCTATGGGAAACTGCACGTCAGTGGCCAAGTCACCACTTATTCTTTGGATGCTGTGCTCTGCCACATCCCCGGGGGCAGGAAGTCCCACATGTTTCTATTAAACAAGAGGATGGTCAGCCGTCGCACCTTCCAGCCACTCGGCCAGTCCCTGTTGGCTGAGTAACCCTGGTTTCAGTCCATCTATGGATCTGAAGGGCCTGCTTCTAGTGAATTATTGCCTTTCCTAAGAAGCCAGTCATTGCACTTCAACAGACACTGTGCTGACACTTGGTCTCCTCCTGAAATTCCCAAGTTCACTGAATGGTGGCATGCCAATCTCTGAGAAGTTATGTTGCACCACTGTGAAGGTCTAGATGCAAGCTTAGCTCCCTCAGAAAGGCTCTTCCCTTGTGCACTGCTGAGGATTCTTGAAGGAACATGGTCAGTCTCTAGTCCAGCTTCTGGCACCAGAGTGGAACCCAGTAAGCACCATCAGGAATTAATTTCACTACAAGTGTGGTCAACTCTGATTTTCAAGGGAGTAGTTACTTGCAAATTACATCCTTGCTGAATTCTGCCATGTTAGAAAACAGCCCAGGACTTTCTCATTTCTGCCATCATATATGTCTATGACTTGAGCCCTCATTTTTCCATCTGCAAAACAATAATGCCTATGTGTATTTGCATACAGATTTGAAATCTTCAAGTTTCAGTAGGATCCGATGTTCTCAAAAATAAATAAGGTTCAAAGGAAACTTGATGGGATTGTGGTGGGTCTGTCTTCTCAGCAGCACAAACAAAACCAGAATTTAGCCTTTAGAACTGCTAAGTAAGCTAAATTTAAATGATTACTGTTTTGATCATGGGCAAGCCATGTGCTTTTCAAAATAAATACCACTAAAAGCCACATAATGCTCAGGTTACTATGTGGATAATAAATAGTCCTACAGTTTATCTTATATGTTAATGATTTTTTTCTCTTGAATGCGATATTTTAAAAAATATAGCATGAGAGCAGTTCAAAGCTGCTTCATACTTATGATGGTCTGAAATATAGTATGTGCTGAATTTTACCTTCTGGTCACCAGTGAGCAGAAAATACACGGTGACCGCACCTCACTTGCTCCTTGTGTTTCAGAAAGCCCAGAGGGTTGCTCAGACCTCAGCAGCTCTTTGCCAGGATTGCTGCAGACTCTTCATTGCCACCTCCAAAACTAAGACTGTTCACTTGGTGGTTGTTCTGAGGCAAGGATTATAGAGTCAGAAATTGTAGACTAGGAGGAGTCTTCTGAGTCTCCTAATTACTGCTTTCATCTTTCAGGTTAAGGAAATGATCCATTCAAGACAGCCCCAATATCACCTGTAGACTGTGTCTCAAAGAGTCTTTGCCAAATCCAGGTCTGAGATCACAATTCCACCTGAAGACAGGATCCAGAGATGAGAGTCACCAATTGGCATAATTGATTTGTGGTGGAGCTGAGATAGAATCCAGATTCCTAATCTAGTATCCTTCCCACTGTACCACATTATGCCTTTTCAGAAGGGAAAAAGGAGCATCTCCTAAGAAATAGAATACTAAGGGCTCCCATGACTTACTGTGTGGCCCTGGGCGTCCTCAGCTTCTTCATTTGGTAAATGGGAATAATAGTACCTACCTCTTAGGCTTGGTGTGAGGATGAAATGAGGTAGGGAATGTAGAGCATGCAAATAGTGGCTGGCACATAGTACATGCAGTATGTGTGCAACTAGTTAAGGAATTATAAAAACAAATGAGTTCTTCCCGCTCAAAAATATTGAAAGAATTTCTTTTCCTTGTGCTCTGTGAAACACTGGACAGCCCCATTTAGAGAAACGAATTCTATGCCCTCATAGAATCCTAATTGTTTCTGTGTGTGTCTGGTGTTTTGCACATGCAAAAAAAAGGTGCTTGGATTTCTTCACCTTCAGTCTTAGGGAATAATAGGGCATGCTTCCTGTCCCCTCAGCTTACTTTTTATCTTCTCCGCTTCTCACAGTTCAAATCGCTCTCATGTTCTCGGTGAGTGTGGCCCTGGTTTTTAGCTAACAACCATTCATTAGCAAAGTCACCAAATTTTGTGAGCGGTAAATAGCAACAAGCTCCCCAGTCCCGGCACCAGGAGGTGGCTGGTGCTTAGCCAACTGGAAAAACTGGTCCATTCCACCTGTTCCCCCTCGAAGCCTTAGTACAGAGGTAACTAATGTGTATACTGTTCACCCCAAAGTAACAGATGATTCTAAAGTCTTAACAAATAATAGTGTTCAATATAGGTTATGGTGGGTATTTCATTCTTTAAAATTCAGTAATTCATTTGAAAAAAATGGTGTTTATTTGTAAGCAGTAGTTTACCTAAATCATTTGCTTATCCTGTTTTTTTCTGTTTTGGGTTTTGTTTTTTTGTTTTTGTTTTTGTTTTTTAGATACAGTTTCACTCTGTCACCCAGGGTGGAGTGCAGTGGTGTGATCTCAGCTCATTCAACCTCCGCCTCCCGTGTTCAAGTTATTCTCATGCCTCAGCCTCCTGAAGTAACCAGGATTACAGTTGTGCACCACCACACCTGGCTAATTTTTTGTATTTTTTAGTAGAGATGTGGCTTCACCGTGTTGGCCAGGCTGGTCTCAAACTCTTATCCTCAAGTGATCTGCCTGCCTTGGCCTTCCAAAGTGCTAGGATTACAGGCATGAGCCACCACACCTGGCCTGCTTAGTCTATTAATGAGAATATTTGATTGGACAGAACATCTTATTCCTTAACTCTGTTATGTGCTTTTGTAGATTGTTTTTATTTACCATAGATGTCTGTTGCTCCAGAATCCCAACAATCAGTATGGTAAGTTTAACACAGTTACTAAAAGGAGACAAAAAGAGATATTTTTAATTAGGTGATATCAGGAATAGTTCTGGTTATTGATTGCTGTGTGAAAAAATACTCCAAACTCAGTGGTTTAAACAACACCATTCATTGAGTTATCCTCATTATCCTAGGTACTGACTGGGCTCAGCCAAACAGTTCGCATTTAGGTTCTCCTGCAGTTTTAGTCATCAGATTATCGCTGGGACTGGAATCATCTCAAAGGCTTCCTTAGTATTTCTGGCAATTGATGCTAGGACCTCAGCCAGTGCTGGGGCTGGAACATCTACATGTGCTTCCCCAAAGCAAGGTGGTTAGGTATTAGGAGTGACTGTCCCAAGGGTAGGACCTTTTATGACCTACTCTCAGAAGTCATAACATCACTTCCACTAAAGTCCCAATGCCCCCCCACGACCAGATTTAAAGGGAGGGAGCGTATATCCCATCTCAGTGGTAGGAATTTCAAAGAATAAATTCTGTGAAACTGTCATAGATAGTCTGTTTTCTCCCCTGTTTAAAACCTCCTGAGGACCTCACATGCTTCTGGATAAAGCTCAGCGTCTTCAACATGGTTTAGAAGGTCCTTCCTAATCTGCCCCACATTTGTCCATCCAGCTCCAACTCTTGCTGTTCCACACCCCTCTTCCCTCCTTGTGGGATGGCTAACTCCTACTCATCATTCAGGTCTCAGCTTAGACATCTTTTTGTCTGGGAAGGCTTTCTGGTCTAGCTCACCTGGTTAGGTGAGCTCCCCGTGTGCCCCGTGTACCACTTATCAAAGTACTCATCATATGCCTGTCACTGTCTGTTTTCTTCACTAGACTCAGGTACCATGTCTGTCCTTTTCTCCTCTGTTTGCTGGGTGCCTAGCATGGTAGGGGATGTGTGAGAGGATTAGTACTTATTTAACTCACCAGCTCATTTAACTATATAATATAATAATGTTGGTGGTCATCTTGTTCCCCCATGGACAACTTTTCCTCTGTAAATACCATATACTCAGTGCAGGGTCTAAATGTCCCCCTAAACTCATATGTTGAAATCCAAATCCCCAAGGTGTTGTTATTAGATGATGTAGCCTTTGGGAGGGAATTAAAGTGAGCCCCTCTTGAAAGGGATTTGTGCCATTATAAAAGAAGCCCAAAGAAATTTGGTAGCCCCTTCCTTTAAGCGAGGACATGGCAAAAAGGCAGTATCTATGAACCAGAAAGTGGGCCCTCACTAGACACCAAATGCTGGCAACTTGTTCTTGGATTTCCCTGCCTTCAGAACTGTGAGAAATATATTTCTGTTATTTATAAGTTCCCCGTTTTTGGTATTTTGTCATAGCAGCCTGAAGGGACTAAGCCAGCCAGTCCCAACCCTCCACATTTAGACCTGACTCCAGGTTTTGCTGAGACCACTGTGTATCCCTTCCTCCTCCCACCTAAAGTGTCTCCACTCTTTATCCTGTTCTGCCCATTTTTCAAGGTCTAACTTTTGTCGCTTCTTCAATGAGGCATTCACAAGCTGTTTATATCCTCAAGGATTATCCATTCATTCGTATCTCTATTGAGATCTATATTGAGCATCTACAAAGGACAAGGCACTATGAAAGTCTCTTCGCATGCCACAGGGAAAAGACAGACAAGATCTCTGTCCCAACACGGAAAATTTTAGCCTGCCACATTGACTCCCACGGACCTTTTGGCCTGTTCATTTGCTTATTGTTTCTGTAGGTGTTGCTTATTACAGAGTGATCATTCCTACTGAAGAATGGACTTCATTGTGAAATAGAACAATCCTGGGCAATTTTTGTTGATATTTTTGTTGAGGATGATCCAGGAAGTAAATACAAACTTTTAACTACTTATAATGAATATTGTCGGAATATTATAATGAGGAAGTAAGGATTTTCCTGCCACAATTCAGGTAGGCAAAATTGTAGGCTTCTCTATTTCTTTGCAGTGAACTAAAACTTCTTATGAACTCTGGTTATACTGAAAATAGGAGTCATGGGAGACTTGATCTTGCTTAAAAGGATATTTTAGTCTTTGATTTCTTTGAAGTACATTTTCAATCTTTTTGCATATCTTCCTCCTACCTTTTCATAGCCACAATGATAGCTGAGTATAAGGCTGTGGCCCTCAAGCCTGAACATGCATCAGAATCACCTGGAAAGCTTGTTAAAATACAGATTGATGGGCCCCACCCCCATAATCTCTGATTCCATACATATGAGTTAGGGCCCAAGAATATGCATTACAGAGGCGTTCTCAGATGATGCTGTTGCTAGTCTGGGCAACACTTTAATAGTTGGTATAACAGAAAGCTGGTGTGTCTGTGTGGACAGGAGGTATAGACTTCAGATCCAACCTCTGGATCCTCTGGTCTCAGTTGTGAGGAGGGGGAAGAGTGGGAAGTCTGGCCTTGTCCCTGGAGTCCTGAGTAAATATATGCTGAGGCAGTGTTGGACCCAACAGGCCCTTTTAGAGGGTCATGCCAGCACCCACTGCTGAGGTGTGTAGTCTCTGCCATCTGCCCTACACATAGTAAGTACCCTTCCTCTGCTGTTCTCTCATGCTGACCCCAGGCCCACCACTGAATTAACTGAATCAATAATCCCAGGGCATTAGGATTTGAAGACAATAAAAAATATATCCATTTATTTTTTCAGATACACATAAAGAAATCCATACAAACTAAGACCAATTGTGGCAAAATACGCGAGACTCAACTAAACCCACAATTCAAATTTCCTTCATAACATTTCTATCTATACATTTGATTCAGAGAAATTACACTTCATAGATAAACTAGCCATAAAAATGATTACAGTGGCAAAAGCTATCATCAGTAACATTTGATATGCATAAGAAATTGTGAGGAACCAAATCATGGTAAAATTGATTCTAAGGAAATGATTGCACAAAAGTAAAAGTGAAATGATATTTTTAAAAAGGAAGTGGTTCAACTGTATTGCATAGAAAATAAATCAAGGAATTACATTGGCTTAAATTGCCTTAGCTCAAAAAAGTGTTCTCTCAACAAAAAGTAATGGATATTGGTGTAATGGAACTCTGGTTATACTGAAAACAGGAGTCATGGGAGACTTGATCTTAGTATAACAAGAGTTCATAAGATATGTTTTATTCAATAACATTCAGTGAAAACAAGGAGATTTTTAAAATGTTCTCTGTTTTCATGGAGCTTGCAATCTGCAAGAGGAACAGACATCAAAAGGATAACTGGGCAAATGACCACATGATTGCATTTGGGATAAGTGCTAACTCTAGGGTAATATATCACCCTGTGGCGTATATAAGTTGTGTATGTGTGTGTGTGCATGTTGTGCATATGCACACACACACAAACGTAATAAAAGGAAGACCATTTGCTGGTGTTTTGTAATCCCAGTTGTCTGTGTCATTAACACTTAAAATGCACTGTCTTGTATTGTTGCAGATGGTTTTTTCCGTATCTGGTTTCTCCTGAAGAACAGAGTATTCTACATTTGTCTTATGTGACCTCAAGGTGCTTATGTAGCATATTATTTATACATTTAATAAGGTCTTAGTATTTTTTGAATGAGTGATTTGATTAATTAATGGCATATTTTAGTTAATATGTGTAGTCTGTCCCAATATACTTTAGATAAGTCACAGTTTTCTAATGAACTGGTTGCTATCCCAGGTTTACATATGACAGAGCCAAGACACAGAGGAGTGGAATGACGTGGTCTGCGCGGGGGTCCTGGGTTGGCCAGTGCATTCATGTACTGGACCAGAGCCCCTGTATCTTGCAGTAATGTAACCATGGGAGTTTCCCCCCAGACATCCATAGCACTCAGCTAATCTGAGAAAGAAGTAATTTGGGAAGAGGTTGGGGGAGTAGATAGTGGGCACAGTGGTTCCAGGTGACTTTCAAGTTGCTAATGAAAGAGGATCAAAACGCTGCTGAACTGCTCCCCCCGCACTTGGCCTACCTTACCCAGCTGACTTTCTTCCAAAGGCCTCAGAGGCAGC